CCCTGACTAATCGCTATAATAAATTTCAGATTCCAACCTTTCTTCACTACATATTGGTTTTGTAGACAGTTTCACTTAACAATTCTATTTACTTTAGTATCCTCCGCGTTGTAGGTTTGCGTTCTTGTGTATTGCGCCTGCTCGTTTCATACTCCACTAAATTTGTATCAACTCACAACTATGAAAGACACACATTCTACTTCATTGAAAATGCCGGCAACTTGACATTCGTTTTCGGGTTAGAATCTTGTAATTTGAAATTCGTCCTAAAGTGAAGTACAAAATCTTTTTATTATAACAACAGCTCTGTGCCAGTGTGTTTAGTCATTTTTTAATTTTATATCTACACTTTACTGTTATAAGTTAGTTTTTTTTACGTGCAATGTTGACGGGTTTTTATAGAGTTTTGTAGTAGTTTTTATTCATTCTTTCATTTTTAAATAAAACTTTTTCGCATTGTAATACACGAATGCTACTAAACAGAAACATTTAAGCTACTATTTTAACACCAACTTTTTTGGACAAGGTAAAGTCCAAAGAATACCGGATATAATAAAAACACATATTGATATTAACACAATATATTGAAATTAAAAATTAATGAAATAATATTCATACTCAAATGTTTTCGATAAACAAAATCTCATATAATGATTCCTCAAAATTTGGTTCTACGTACGTGAACCTTCAAAATTAATGGTACAAACAATATTAGTTGAAATCTCAAAATCCAAGTATTACTCTCAAAATCCCAAATATTATTCTAAACTATCCTAATCTAAAAAATTTTATATCCTTTCTAAATTAAGTGTAAAAATTGTGTTATCAATGAAAGAAAAAACTGCAGAAAACAAATACTATCTCTCTCTGATGATGAGGTGGTCCAAATCCTTGTTATTTGTTAGGACTATACTATTTACTCGTGGCCGCGTCCCCTAAGTAATCAGCAATCTTACAATAAATTATTGCAAGTATCTCGTCCTTAATGATCTCCTTCAAATGCCACGAATCGTTCATATTATGCTAGCTTCTTCTTCTCTCAATAAACTGAATCTCTCGTTGGCCTGAACAGTGACTCTTGGAATGTAAGTAGAAAATATGACTTACAAATATTTTACTGGATCAGCTTCTGTCAGATACACTAACTACATGAAAACTCACAAACTTTCACTGCTACTGCTTCCTACCTCTGGAAAACTACCCGTGAACAACGGCCGTTCGCCTTGCACCCTGGGAAACTAACTGATTATCTTTTCTCTCTCTCCTAAATCTAGCTAAACTTTCATTCCTACATACCTATCCACATTTTGCAATCTCCGCCCAATCAAAAAACTCGTCACAATTCTCCCCATTTTTTCATTTCGATAACAAACAACTTTTTACCTATAATTGTAAAATTTCCTAAAACCTTATTGACAAATAATATTTTTCTACAATTCTTAAAAAACTAACAAAACCTCTTTCTAAAAATCTCTTCTATTGTCTTTAATCACTGCAATAATGTATTTGGGAAAAACCCGGTTCAATTGTCTTTGGGATTTCACTTAAAATTATGCGGGTCACTCAAGTTATAGTATAACAAAGGAAATAATTTATGCATAGCTTACATTTTGTTTATATACAGGTAATACCAAAAAAATTTAAATACTTTCCTTCTCCGAAATGTTTGTTGGTTATTATCTACTTATTTGAATTATTTTAATGTTTTTTGAACTTTGAAGAATTTTAAAACACACCAATATTTTTCTCGATTTTTTACATGTCATATACAATATATAGGTCTACCTCTTTTTTTTCCAAGGGGCTTCCATCTGTGACGTTTTTGTGTCGAAAATTTTAAATCTCTTCTTTTTATTCTGTCAACCAGTGTCTGTAACATTCCTGTTGTTTCTTATAGATTCGTTGGTCTTCCTTTCCAGCAAGGTGGCAATTAGGCTCTTGTGTAGTTAGTCGCACTTGTCAAACTTGTTCCTCTGATTTTAAACAGTAGCTACAAGTCGCGCTGCATGGACTTCTCGAAAGAGCATTGGCATTTGCAAAGATTTTTCCTGCCATGTGCTAGATGTAATAATGGTATTGTAATCGCTTTAGTCACATTACAATATGACCTTCTGGAATACGAAATTCTAGAAACTACTTCAGAACTGCGTAATCAGTTCATTTTGACCATATTTTTAAAATTGTTCACAAGCCTTCATTTAATGTATTAAAATTAGTCCGATGTTGTGATTTCTGTCTTTATATAACTAATGACTTATAATGGAAGGGAAAGTGGAAGGAAGAAGAGGTCCAGGAAGAAGAAAATTCTCCTGGATGAAGAATATAAGAGACTGGAGTGGTATGAACACACATTCGATACTAAGAACAGCTAAAGATAGAGACCAATTTGCTGTAGTTATAGCCAACCTTCAGTAATGGAGAAGACACCTTAAGAAGAAGAAGATATAACTAATTATCCAATTATCCAATTTTCTATATTACTGATGGATATCAGTTTTCTTCGATTCCATATTTGCTCTAGATAATGTTTTTATAATAGCACATTGAGAGTTATGCTTGATGTTTTTTCCTAAACCTAAACCTTTTTCCTTACATCGGGGTAGGCTTTAGTAGAAATCGATTAGCGCGATCACAAACAACATTGTATGTAAAGTAAATTTAGAATAATTACTTTAACAGAAGTCTGTGGTGATTTGGCAACGCTTCGTTCAGTTAAAATAATTAAGAGCAGCTAAGCATCAAAATCCTGCACAAAGCGAGAGGGCCGAGTCGAACCGAGCTTAGTCGAATGATCATGGGAACGCGCCGAACCTGATGTCTCATACAACGTTGCCGGCGTTTTTTTTATATCATTGAAATAAAAGATATTTTCTCCTGCCTCCACTGTTTTCAAAAAAAAAAGAAATAATACATTGAAAGAATTGTGTAACAAGTATAGCGGAAGAGACCTTTGATTTCATTAGATTTGCCGACATAATGTAAATCGCCTGTAGTAAAGTTTAATATAAATAGTAGTTTGTAAAGGTTTTAATTCTATTCAGGCACCTTAAGGGAGATCTTAGTTTAGGTCTTCAGTCTTCTTCTTAGAGTGCCGTCTCCCTACGGAGGTTGGCAATCATAATGGCTATTTTTATTTTAGAACTTGCTGCTCTAAACAAATCAATCGATCTGCATTGGTACCAATCACGTAGATTCTTTAACCATGAGTTCTGCCTTCGGCCAACAGATCTTCTTCCTTCAGGTCTTCAGTGAATCTGAGCAAACTGCAAAATGCAAATAGCCATGATTTTCTTCGTCTACTAGGACCATGATTACCTTGGATCTTTCCCTGAATTATCAGATGTAAAAGATCATATTTTTCAGGGTGTCTCATAATGTGACCGAAGTATTCCAGCTTGCATTTCTTTATTATATTGACCAGTTGTGTTGTTTGGCTAAGCCGTCTAAGGACCTCCTCATTTCTAACTCTGTCGTCCCAGCTTATTTTCAGTAGTCGTCTGTATACCCACATCTCAAAGGCTGTCAAGCATTTAAGCATAGCCTCAGTTAGAGTCCACGCTTCCACTCCATACAGCAGGGCAGCAAAGATGTAGCAAGATGTCATAAGAACTCTAAGGTCAATGCTAAGATCGTGACTGCAAAGTAGGTTTCTTATTTTTACAAAGGCATCTCGGGCTTGTTCTATTCGGCTTTTAATTTCTGCGGTTGGATCCCAGCTCTCATTGATATTACTGCCGAGATACACGAGTTTCTCTACTCTGTCCAGTGTGGCATCTCCGACTTTTATACCGTCATCCTGTATATAATTTTGTTTGCTAACTATCATATATTTAGTTTTCTTAACGTTGAGTTTTAATTAATACTGATCACAAGTCTGTTTTATTTTGTTCATTAGATTTTGAAGGTCTTCTCCGTAATTGGCAAGGACTAAGGTATCGTCGGCATATCTAATATTATTGACGGTTACTCCATTCACAATAATACATTCGGTTGTCTCTATTAAGGCTTCCTTAAATATTTCCTCCGAATATAAATTTAAAAGTAAAGGCGACAATATACAGCCTTGTCTCACTCCTCTTTTTATATTTATTTCATCCGACAGTTCTTGTTCAACCTTTATTCTTGCCACTTGATGCCAGTATAGATTTGTAATTATTTGTAGATCTTTATCGTCCAATCCAGCTGTTTCCAATATTTCTAGCATTTTGTTATGTCGGACTTTGTCAAAAGCTTTTTCAAAATCGATTGCACAAATGTTCACATTTTGATTTATATCTCTGCATCTCTGTACTAGCACCTGTATACTAATTAATTACTAATTAATTAATATATTAATATGATTTCATAAATATCTTTTACGCGATAATTAAATGGATGTTTTTAAAAACATTTATTGCCTTCGCAGATAAAAATTGGTATAGGCAACGTCGCAATTTCATTAGGATGCTGGATCGTGATATACAATGAAGGACCAAATTTTTCCCGCATAACTTTGCAATGCGGCAGTATTCCATTCTCACCGAACGTTTTGAGTAGTAGTGCAAGGCTGCCAGGTCTAGGGATTTATCCCGAATCTAGGATATTTCAGTATAAAAGGGACAAAGGGATTTTTTTGATATTTAGTGTAAAATCTAGGGATTTTTAACGGCTCAAATATTTTACCACACGTTAGACCTATTATAATAACATTTTCTTTAATTTCAGGTATAAAATACACTTCGTTTTAACAGTATTAAATACACGATCTTTCATTACAACTAATTAAACTAACAGTAAAACTACTTAAAGATTCTATTATCAGATGTCAACTAAATGTCCACGTTCTTGGAATCTTTATTTTATACTACAATAGATTTCTGTCAAAGTAGATTCCTATAAGTGTAGTCTGTAGTACTGTAGTAGTGGGAAAAGGAGCGTGCGACAGGCATAGGCAATCAGTAATCAGTTGTCATTTAGCCGGTGAGAGAAGTAGTGCAGTTTCGTGATTTAGGAAGATTACGATGGTTACTACTACGAATGCGGTCACTAGTACTAGTATGATTCAAGGAAATAGCATGTTGCCTTCACCTAACACCCCTGGCACAGGCGAGAATAATGGTATTAAGAGAATTAGTGATAATAGAAGGGTGAGTAGTTAGAGGGTTTTTATGTATTGAAATCATTAGTATTGCGCTTTTATATTATATAGATATATGTATATAATATATATAATATATATAATATATATATAAATATACTATATATATATATATAAATATATATATATAATATATATATATAATATATATAGTATATATAATATATATATATTATATAATAATACGTAGGAAATTATCAGGTAAAGTGGTCTATTAAAAATCTTTGTTTTACTAAAAACTCAATATTTATTTTTAGCATCAGGAGTAAACTAAAACAATTTCACAAATCAAAACTGACATAGCACGTTCACTAAACAGCAATGCGATATAAAAAAATTGAAATTACATTACAAATGTAAAAATAAAAATAGTATAGCTAAATATAATACCATGAACAGCAAACAACTATTTTCAAAAATCAAAGACCCAGTAAGTACCAACCTTATACAAAAGTAACGTTGTTTATGAAATACCTTGTCTAGGATGTCAAAATAGCTACATTGGCCAAACATCACAATGGCTAAAATAACGCATCACCCAACATAAAAGTCATTGCCGCTTGGGAAAAAATAGTTGAGCACTATGAAAACACCGGTCATATGCTAGACTATAACAAAGTTCACATTTTGGCACAGGCTGATAACTACAAAAGTAGATTATTTCTTGAAATGTATCACATTAACAAAAATAAAAACACTTAAAATTATAAATCAGACACTGGACAGTTAAGCAACATATATTGTAATATATTAAACAAAATTTATAAATATTCAAATAGCTAACATTCACCTTAATAACAACTAACCTTATTAAATTATCAAAGAGATATCATTCTTCTAATGTTTCTTTTGTTATTTTTATTTTTACATTTGAAGTAATTTTAATTTTTACATTTTAAGTAATTTTAATTTTTTTTATCCTAGATTGCTGTAATAAACGTGCTATGTCAGTTTTGTTTTGTGAAATCTTTTAATTTCTGTAAGTTATTTTTTAAAATATATTTGTACGCCATTTTTATAATGTTGAAATTGTTTTAGTTTACTCCTGATGGTGCTAAAAAATAAATAGCGAAATATTTAGTTTTTAGAAAAAACAAAGATTTTTATATAGACCACTTTATCTGATAATTTCCTACGTATTTAGAAATTATTTTTTGGTCGACATAATCACTTGTAATATATCAATATCAATATCAATGATCAATATATATGTATATATATATATATATATATATATATATATATATATATATATATATATATATATATATATTGATCAACATTTCGTTTTATTACTTATATAAAAATCATTGTGACATATTCAGTTAGGAGTAGGACAATAAAAAAAATCAAAGTTGGAGGTCATCCAAAAATATTCCTGATTACTATTTATTCATCCAATGATCCAAAATCATATTGTACATCCGAATTTACCCGCCACGAATGATACTTGATCACGGTCAGTCTGGTTCTAAAATTAAAGAAACTTCCACGAAATTATCACTTTGGTAGACGACTTGGCAAGAGGCTTTGCCAACGCCAGCACGCGACAAGCAGAGGCGTTCCCACAATGATTTTTTTCAAACAACAATATTGAGGAATTATTATCTCTCGGAAGAAATTATATAGTACAACTTAAAAATAATTATTGCCCTATTTTCAACTTTACAATTTAATATTTCTTATTCTTTGACTTTATTCCTAACCAATGTTTTGCAAATGCCGGCTATCCGTACGGTATACTCCATTCAACGATTATACGACTGTTGTGTCGATTTAAATGGTCCAATGTGCTGAGTTGTACAATAGTCCATTCTCCCACAATTTTTAAAATACTGTTATGGCAAATATAAACCTTAGATTTAAATATGAAGTCATGATATAAATATAGAGTTGATAGTTTATAGAACAGTTGTAATTCAGATTTTGAAATATATAATTACTATCATTGAGTTTAGTATTGTAAACAGGTTGGTTTTTGAATTAAGTGTAACAATACTTAAGTGATTAAATAGTGTAAATTATTTAGTCGAATATTCAATCAGCCGAATAGATCATCAACCATCAGATTCACAGCCATAATCACTGTCGTTGCTATCCTCATTGGGATGGTAAATTATAACAGGATTAACTGCTTCGATGCGACCTTCGCGGATCCACCATTTTCAATTAAGTCTTTACATTTTCTTACACTTTTTCCCCAAATTTTAGGAGTGGAAATATCTGATGCTTATTGCCATGTTTCCAAGACTGCCCCAAATATATTCAATTGGATTGAATTGGCAATGATAGGGCGGTAGTCTCAACACACGATGTCCAAAGCTATGTATAATTTAGTCTATATATATTATATATATATATTTATATATATATATATATATATATTATATATATATATTGTTGTTTTGAGTTTCTTGAACCGTATTATATTTAATATAAAATTAATATTTCTTGGGTTTAGGTTCAATAAAGATATGTTACATGTGGAACTAGATTTTATTTTCCATTGCAATCAATCAACGTTTCGGCAGAGAAACCCTTGCCTTTGTCAAGATTCTAAACTGTATATATATATATATATTATATATATATATTAATATATATATATACAAGCAGATATTGTAAAATATATATATATATATATATATATATATATATATATATATGACTTACCAAAACGTAAAACGTGACACAGACATTAACGAACTGACATATAAAAGTTGATATCTGATATCTCATTGTTTACTATCATTAGTATATAATTATTTTTATATGGGCGTATCCTTGATGTTTTCGAAAAAGTTAAGGTGGAGATATGTTATGACTTTAAGAGCTTTTTATGATGTTATATTATTATTGTTTAAATCAGATTGAAATATATTTTTTGTGTATCTTTGAAATAAACAGTGCAGGACTTATAATGGGCAATCCTCTAAGCCCATTGCTATCAGATATTTTTGTGGATCATCTAGAGACAAAGATTTCAAAACATCCCGTATTTAAACAGTTTTTATATTCGTGGAGATTCGTAGACGACGTACTGGTATGTTTCACAGGAACTAACAGGCAAGTCGATCAATTTTTATCGTATATTATTTCACTTCATAATCATATGAATTACAATAGAAACAGAACAAAATCAATCCATAAATTTTTTAGATTTAAAAATTATCAGACTTAAAATCAAACATGACTTCTCCATATTTCATAAACCTACCCATACTGACACGACTATACCAAATTCATCATCCCATCCAACACAACATAAACTTATAGCCTCTCATAGTATGTTACATAGATTAACAGAAATTCCGACGTCAAAATACAACTTTGAGACAGACTTAAATATCATTAAGCCAATAGCTAATGACGATATTTCAAAACTCCACTGACTATTCACTAACAACTTGAATCTCTTCATTTTTTTAGTTTTGCGTCTTTATCGTTACAAAAAATATAGGGGTGATCTTTCATTAACAAATGACCACACAAATCACATATTTGCTTTAGTGTAGTTCCCAAATACATGGCCAAAATTTGAAGCTTTATAGATTTTAGTTTGCTCGTTGTAGCCGCTTATTAGTCTTGTACTTGCTTGCTACAACGGTATCAAAGAGGATGTGGTTTAATATGTCAAAAAAGGTAAATTTTTCTTCTCGGTATGTCGGCGCATTTCAATTAGTAATCTAGAGCATTCCCTTATTTTATTAGAGCAAGCGACCAAAATTTGAGCGCGCTTATGTTTCTGTGGTTGAAAATTTCTGTTGTTGGAAAACTTTTGTTTAATTTATTTTCATATTATTTATGTTAAAAGTTGTATTACAACATTCAGTTTATTAATTTTTAATGTAGATATTTTTCGCAATAAACATGTTTCAAACGAATGAGCGTATTTACTGTGAGGCACTGTCTGTAACTCGTTAGCAAGTTCCAATAAAATCCTCCCTCTTGTTCGGGGTACCTTAGCCATAACATCATTGTTTGATTTATTGAAGACAATAAGGTAATAATAATTGAAATTATAATCTAAATTACCATTAGATATTTTTAAACTTACCTTTTTTTAATCCTGTCAGTTCTGACATATTTATAAAAGTATTTAAATAGGTAAATTGTGTATTGTGTATGATCACACTATATTGAGAAATGAGACAAAGTTCGACCAGCTTGTTCATCGCCGAAAAAAAGTCATAGAACTCGGGAAACAACCGGACGAAAGCAATTCCGAATTAATAATCTTTATCAATACCAAAACTATTAAAAATAACAGAGAAGGTAAAACACAACAAAATGTTGCGAAGATTATAAAGAAAAACCTAACAACTGTACAATACATAATAAAAAAAACGAAAAGAAAGTGCAAATAAATTTCAAACTAGAAATACGAAAAAGTTACGTATGAATTATAATGTCGCGATCACTATAATAACACGATAAATTTGGCAACATCTACAGAGGTGGAACCGCACTTGCAACATCATATAAAATATACAAATGAGACCAAAGAGTACGTTCAGTGTATGGAGGCAAACAAGAACTACACAAATAAAATAACTGTATAAAATTAGGTTAATAAATATTTACCCCTCTTTCTTTGCCTTTATAATATACATCAAAATAAGATTAATGATGCATTATATGTGCATATACTCCCTCTAGTTTTGGTGGAGGGAGGGACGTCTGTTGTATGTACGGAGGCAAAAAGGATACAAATGCACACACACACACACACACACACACATACATATATATATATATATATATATATATATATACTATATATATTATATATATATATATATATGATTTCCGTTGTTTTCCGGGTTTGACTCCGCGTTAAATAGTTTTGATTTTTAGAAAAACCATTGTTTTGACGATGTTTCGGCAAGGTCACACTTGCCATTGTCAAGTCAGATTAGTTCTGCTTCGTCTTGATGTTTCAGGAGGACTGAGTCAAACTCGGAAAACAACTGAAATCACATATAGCTC